GAGGTGGCCGGGGGAGGGGAGGGGGAGGGGAGGTGGACAATCAAGAGTTCTACAAAATCCTCGGGGTAAACACGGACGCCAATGAGGGAGACATCAAGAAGGCTTACCGTAAGCTCGCGCTGAAGAACCACCCGGACAAAGGTGGAGATCCTGAAAAATTCAAAGAGATTACCATGGTGCGTACAACAGTGTCGCCTCGTCTGCGTACCTTGGTGGGCTATCCGACAGAGACAGCAGGCCGATCTTGTCGCGTTCGTCAAGTCCTATTTTCGCCTCTCGCAAAAGCGTGGGGGGGGTTTGTTGCCTCTTTTTCTGTGGAAGCGATTGTCATGGATAGGCATTTTGCTCACCAAGTGCACCCTCTCCTCCTCTGAACCCGACATTCTCAACTGCCGGCACAGGCCTACGAAGTCCTCTCTGATCCGGAGAAGCGCAAGCGGTACGACCAGTACGGGAAGGACGGTTTGGAGGAGGGAAGCATGCACAACCCGGAAGACATCTTCTCCATGTTCTTTGGCGGCGGGCGACGGGGCCCGAGTGGTCCGCGAAAGGGGGAGGACATCCGGCACCCTCTGAAAGTGACCCTCGATGACCTGTACAATGGAAAGAAGTGCCACCTGGCCATCAACCGCGACAAACTCTGCGGGGCCTGCGAGGGCTTAGGGGGCAAGAAAGGGGCGGAACGTTCCTGCAGCACATGCAACGGGCGGGGAGTGACGGTCCAATTGCGTCAGATAGGTCCGGGCATGGTGCAGCAATCTCAAATGCCCTGCTCGGTGTGCCGGGGGGCGGGGAAGACGATGAGCGAGAAGGACAAATGCCGCGAATGTCGGGGACGGAAGGTGGTGAAGGAACGGAAGCTGTTGGAGGTGCATATCGAGAAAGGGATGAAGCACAACCAGAAGATCACCTTCCACGGCGAGGCGGACGAGGCCCCCGGCACCATCCCGGGGGACATCATCTTTTTAGTGCAGGAGAAGGATCACGAGGTGTTCACCCGCAAGAACAACGACCTCTTCATGGAAAAGACCCTGACGCTGACCGAGGCCCTTGTCGGCTACGACTTCCTCTTCACCCATTTGGACGGGCGGGTCATCAAGTGCGGGAACCAGCCCGGAGAGATCATCAAGCCGGGGGACATCCGGATGGTCCAGGGCGAGGGGATGCCGATCCACGGGTCTCCTTTCACCAAGGGCCGCTTGTTCATCGTCTTCAAGGTGGAGTTCCCACCGTCAGGAGCCTTCGACGCGGCGCAACTAAAGGCGCTGGAAGCCGTCCTGCCCTCGCGAGTGGTTCCCAAGGTGACTGGAGAGGAGGAAGAAGTGGATCTCGTGCCTGTGGATGCGAACCAGATCGGGGCGGGGGATGATGGGAGCGCCATGGATGAGGATGAGGACGGTCGGGGCCAGCGGGTGCAGTGTCAAAACATGTAAAGACACAGGAGAGGTCCGACGCGGAGAGCGGGGTTAGGAACGGGTTCCGCGGCGGGTCGGAGGGGTTGGTCCATGCATGTCCGGATGCCTGGAGGCAGGAAAGTTTTAAAGAGGCGGACCCCGCAGTAATCGAACGATGGAATGGTGCAACACTAGCCTAGGGACGTGCCAGTCGCCAACAGTGACACATGGGATGCGTCCATTTAATCCCATCCGTCTGGGTGACGAGGGGGGCCGGAGCGAAGAAAGAGAAAATTTGAGTGGAAGATTTCTACAAATTGCATGAGAAAGAAACATGTTTGCCATCGGGAGTGATAAAAGACGACATGTACTACATAAAATAAATCCTGCATGCTTTGTTTTTGTTTCGTAATGCATCCTCGACTAGTATGCGAAGCCAAAGCGCCTCCCACCGCGCGCGTCGATCCTGACAGACAGACCTTGTCACTCCCCCGCCCATCCACCACGACCCCTGCCTGGGGCATGCGCGGAAGATATCTCATGCGCCTTCTTCTCCCTCGTCCATGGCCACGTTGTGCTCGACACTGTCCACATCATCCAGCTCTTCCAGCGCCTCGATCACGCTCATGTTCCCCTCGAAGTCCTCGTCCGAACAGTCCATCAGGAGCTTGGGCACGTTCACCATCAACGAGGCCTTGATCTCCCTCCCCTTCCCCAGGAAGACCTCCCTCAGGCTACTCACACTGGCCGGGTCCACCAGCACGCTCGTGACGCCCTCCTCCTCGTTCACGCGCGTGTCCACGTCCTCCACGTCGGCCTCCAGCGCCGCCTCCAAGACGGCGTCTTCCTCCACAATCCCCGCCAAATCGATGCGACCCTTTCTGTCGAAATTGAAGGCCACCGATCCTGACGTCGCCAGTTTTACGTCGGTCTTCTTGATGACGTTGCTGATCTCAGTCTTAGCCCGGTTCGTGTTATCTGTCAAGCAGTTGATGATCAGGCCCGCGCCCCCGTACCCGTACGCCTCGTACACCGCCTCTTTATAATCCGCTTCATTGGCGTTGCTCCCTCGCTGGATGGCGCGCTGGACGTTGTCGCTGGGCACGCCCTGGGCCTTGGCCTCCCGGATCATGACTGCCAACGCCCGGTTCACCTCCGGGTCGGGCCCTCCTGCTTTCACGGCCATCACCAGTTTCTTTCCGTACGTGGCATAGACCTTCGTTTTCAGAGCGTCCGATTTCCCTTTACGAGCGGCGTTCTTAGCTGCGCGACGGCCCATGAAGAGCCTAAAGGGGGAGTGGGCACGATGCAAGCAGCGGGTGACTAGGCGAGAAAGGGGCGTTAGGAAAACGGTCACGGCAGGGACTACATTTCCTCCTCCATTCCTCCACTCCCCCAGCAACATTATACTTTCACAAGATTGGAGGGACTACAAGATACACCTTTGGGTGATTGCTGTCTACTACACGTGCATTGGCCTGAGCCATGTCCGCGACTACGATTTCCATCTACCAGGAAATAGTTTCCCACTCAATATCAGGTTCAAAGCTGCCTTAAGACTTTTCAAAAACGTACCTGTTTAATCGATTGCATCTCGGTTGCGGCTGTCGCAGAGGTAGACACACATTGCCGCTCATCGTGTCCGCTAGTATCCCTGGAGCTGAAGTTGCAGCCTCAGGCGGTCGGCAGGATGGCAAGAAAAATGCTTGCCCAGGGCTCAAAGAAATGATGAATACTACAAACATGCATCCCATATATACCATGACCCTGGTTGTCGTCATCCTTGAATCTAGGATGTCTGTGGGGGTTAAAAATCTGCACGTGAGGTGACGGCCCGGCATATCACTCGCCTTCAGGATGGAAGAAGCGAGAGGAGACGGTACTTCACAATTTCCACTGCTCCGACGCAACGCAATGTCTTCAGAGCGGGCCATGTGATACTCTCAGCTGATTGAATGCACTCATACAGCAAGTTAACAGGATTTTGTGGCTCGTGTTCAATATTTCCACCGCAAGCGTGTCTCAGTCGTCGACCCGACCCTTGAAGGCGTGGCATCCGAATCGGCAACAGTGCTCCGCTTCACTCGCAGACTTCACTGCCACGCTCCGCGCCTGTACTAACGAAACATCGGGTATGTGTGGAGTATGCACATTGTATGTGACACATGAGATTTAAACTTTGTCTGCCGGGATTGCGTCTCTGCGTGCGTCACTTTTCGTAAAAGGAAAATATTGCTCTGACTCTCTCCTGATTTCCATTTTAGGCATGAGGCAAGAGGAATAATTACTTACTCAATTCATCGCGCATGGAGAGTCGCCGCAGAAACAGAGTCGTGATGGGGGTGGTAGGAGTGGCATTTTTAATGCGGGAGACAACAGGGTTTGACATTCTTCATCCCTTCCCTCAATGTCAGCTCCACAAGCTCAGCCCAACCCCGTCGGAAGCAGGCGGACGCCGCCGTAAGCCATTCTCGTACAACTTGGGCAACTTTCCCATCATCGGGGAAGGATATAACCGGGCAAGGAAAAGTCGGATAAGACTTGTCAGTCTCTCCCTGAGCACATCAAGTTGTGCCGGTGGTGGCAGCGGCATCGTCGAGAAGGAGGAGAGGCAAGAGCAAGGGCTTCCCTCCCGACCAACCGCACCTGTACGTTCAGGCCCTTCACTACCACCTACGCCTCCCTCTCCCGAGACAAAGTCCAGTGCGGGTTCCTCGCCCATATTGCGCAGGGGTCAGTCCAGTGCTGAAGGGCAGGTAACCAAACAAGCATCGCAGCCACAAAGCCCCCCGTTGCTCTCGGGGCGGACACAGCCTCCGCTCTCGTCGTCAACTTCAGCACTATCTCCAGCTAACCCTCACAGGCCTTTGCAGAGTCTGAGGTGGGATGAGGAAGGGCGGGTGCTGGCGATGTTGGAGGGGCTGGCTCGGCGTCGACGTAGAGACGAGTTCTGTGCCGCTATCGGGAGGATGGGTTTTGGCAAGCGCGAAAAGGGTAAAGGAAAACCCCGAGTAGCTGCGGTAAATATACATCGGGTGGAGGAGGAGGGTAGCCTGGAGGTCCTAGAGGCCTTCATCCGAGCAGCGGCTGCCTGTCAGGAGCCGCGGGTCGCGTGGGGGGCGATGGAGGTCATGCTCCGGCGATTGGATGGTGCGGGGGAGGAGAAGGCGTGGAGCCCGCGGTGGGACACGTTCTCTACCTTGATGAACTCTCTTCGCCGTGGGAAGGAGCTGGATCTCCTGCTGCGGAGCTTCAAAACCGCCCTCCGGTTCCGGGGCCTGAGCAAGACCGTGCTCCTCAACATCCTCCTTGCCGGCCTCTGCGACAAGAACAAGCACGTGGACGTGGCCGCCTTCTACCTGGAGACAGCGCAGGCCAAGTGGGGGGTGACTCCCAACGAGGTGAGCTGGAATACGCTGCTGGGCGCGGCGGCGCGGCAGAGCCAGGGGCGGCTCTTCGAGGACCTTGAGAGGAAAATGGCCGCCCAAGGTTTGGAGGGAGACGTTACGACCCGCAACATCCGGCTGCAGTATCTGCTCGCGTCTCGGCCCAGCGATGGGCTTGCCTTGTTCGAACGGATGCGGCAAGAGGCGCGAGCACAAGGGCGGGCGGTGGCGGGGAGGGGGGCGGAATGGGGGAGGGTCATGGACC